ATCATATTTGTCGCTTATATGATTAGTTTTCCCATTTGTTGCATTTTGTTCGCTGAAAACGTATGCCCAGTTCATTTCATATTCTTCGCTCGACACGACACGCATCGTTTCCCTATGTTTTCTAAATACGTAGAATACAGTACAAAATACATGGAACCAAATAGGAGCAGAAATAATTAACGAAACAATAAAATGGATGCCGAAAAAGGTCCAAGGAATAATTAATAACGCGGTGGATGTATTGACGAAAAGTAGATTTAATTCTCTTTTACTGTTAAATGTACTATATAGTGTTAAATATATATAATCTACTTGTTACAATTTCATACAATTAAATTTAAAATGAATTGAAGAAATTAAAAGAATTTCCTATTGATTTTTCAAATCTATTGCATTTTCTGTTAGTGTCCTAATGCTTGTGGAGTGGAGGGGGTGTACATATAGCCCGCCGTGAGACGCACCTATTCATCGGAAACGTTTGACGAGGAAATTAATAATTGAAGGGGCTGCTGCTGGTGTTGGGCGTTGGGTCATTAAGCTTTTTGGGCTCGAGCCGTGGAAAGACCTCGAGCCACGGAGAGAGCTCGAGCCGTCGAGCTTCATCGATCCGCAAGAGGCTCCGGCACACGATATTTCTCACAGTGCTCGCTAGCCGAACGAAACTCAAAATTCAAGTTGCAAAAACGGAGCAATTTTTGTAAGCTGAAGTGGTAGAAACCCGTACATGATACAATAAACGACGCATTTTTTGCAGAGTGCGTACGTATGCATCATCTAACGATTAATCTAACGAAACTTAAAATTCAAGTTTCGATAACTAGTGTAATTTTTGTGAGCTCAAGTGGTAAAAAAGACGTGCGTAATCCGACAAACGACAAAATTTATCTACCACTTCAGGATTTTGAAAAAAGAAATTACGGTTAGCAAATTGTTTCAACGAAAGGATCACGATTTCGTTATTTTCTTCACTTAAATCGATATTTTTTCGAAATTCTGAAGTGGTAGATAAATTTTGCGATCGGATTTGAAATCGGCGCGTCAAAATCTACGGGAAGTGATATAACATGTGAAGAAATTTCCGATTGTACGTACATAGTATTGGACAAATCACACAATTTTATTGAAACATTTCAATCAACGTGTCTAAAGGGAGTATATTAAAAAATATGTTGACAAAAATTAATGAATAATATTTTAGTGATCTCAAGCATATTGAGTTATATTTTTTGTAACTAAGATTCGTTGCTCGAGCGTTAAAACTACATTACGTTACATAATATCAATATCAAGATCGTCGTGGAAAACAAACTGCAAGCAGTGCATATCAACTGAACACGTTTAATACCCTCTGTTACTGGTTGCGAGAATGAGGGCAACGTTGCCAGTGGTACATCGTTTCTCAAGGAAGTTGCCTCGAAGGGGATAATGTTATTGTACAGTTTAATTGTTATATATAGAATTATATAACGTCAGTCTCATTATATTAAAGACACACCTCGTACAATTAGCTGACATAATATCTGTTGTTGTTAACGTAGTGTATTTAATAGCCTTTTACAGTGAAGATTGTACATATCCTGTCTGAAGACGACTTCAGGGGGAATTATATGTTATCGAGTCAGTTCGCGTAGACAATTAGACGTACGGAAAATTCAATGATAGAACCGACTGAAGTAAAAGATAGCAAAAACGAATAAAATTGCTAAACGAGATATCCAGAATCTTGTACCGATGGAATATTTGCCGGTGCAGCTATGTGCGCATTTTCGTACGTACTATTCCCGAGAGTTTGTCATTTACCTAAGTAAAAAACGTCCTGTTGACGCTACTTTGTTTACGTTAGTTGGCTGTATACAAAACGATTTTTAGTTCTTGTTTCAATTTAGAAACGTGATATGGGTTTACCAAGTTCACCAAGAATCAATATACACGCCAAGAGATAGTTTCTGAAGTCAAAGGTCGGGTTCAAAAAGTTTTGAATGGTGATAACTGTGCGGTTAAAATGACGTGAATTAGTCGAACATAATATCTAAACAGCTGTTTATCCGACTTTCCACATATAATGTTGTCATGACTTTCCGATATATTATTTAATAACAAAGGAATCCTTAACGTAATTATTTATTTACAACTACTGTCTAAAAAGTGTCTGTAAAGGAAAAGCGAACACAACATCTTTATCAGATACAAACGTTCCTAATAAGAAAGCGATGTTTCAGAAACGGGCGAAAAAAGGAATGAGTATTACAGAAGTCGTTACTTTCAATGCAGAACAACGCTACATAGGTACATAAATAACAAAAATAATACCGATACACTGTTGTTCATATATTCCAATAGCTCGGACAATCAAGATTGTTCACTTTGCGCAAGATTTGAAGAATCGTATCTTATTCAGCTTTTTCGTCCTAATACTCCATTGCGCGTCGTAACAGTAAATTCAATAGATGTTCATTTCTCATTCGTACTATAGCAGAATCGACATTTACAGAACTCGTGTTCAGCAAATTCGAAACAGTTGGAATTCTGTGTTCGTTTCGAACTCTCCTCCAATCGATGCACCGTGCGTGTCGAAGGTGTGTTTCGACACTCTCCGTCCGCCTTACCGATAACCACAAAGTCGAGTTAGGCTTGGCGTTAATCGTTTCCGAATGTTGCGTTGTTACACAGCTGATAACCGAGGTGGTTGAAAAATATAAGGCGAGCGTACAAAACGGGATTATCTCGGTTTATCGAGGCCAGTGTTGCGCCGACAAGCCGAGAACTATGAAAGTTCGGAGAATAAAAATGCGTACTTCAGGATAACCACAAACGTTGAACGACGC